ACCTTAGGTGTATGTGGCTGGCACCTTAGCCGATTGAGCCACAGGCGCCGAGCCCACTTATGATCTTTAAAACAAATTTTGGTTTTCTTTTTTGTACTTATTCATTTTTGTAAAGTTTATTCCTAAGTATTTTACATTTTTGAAGCTATTTGGAATTAAACCTGCTACTATATTTCTAATGACACGTCTTCTCTTGTGAAAGGAAAGCTTTCCCAAGGCCACCTATTAACTTCAATAGGCCACCTATTAACTTCAATAGTTTTAGCCATCACTTACATTCCATTTCCTGACACTTTCCCAATTATAAAACGAGATGGATTGAGTTCTCTCAAGTATTTTCAGTTCTCTAATGCAAACACTGTAATCATTTACATTAAAACTGATACTTGTTGAATGCTAAGTTGATGATTAACAGAAATAAGAAAAAAAGACATAATTATCATGGGACTAGACAGTTCACCTATGAAATAGAAAAAATAATTTCCTATGCATTGTACATTAGTATTTTGACATCAGTGCCAATATGAATTGAGTTGCTCAATCTCTGTTTTGCAGTAACTTAACCTGTAAAAGGAATAGCTAATCTGTCCCCTCTCATAAAAGCCATGTCATGAGTAAAATTCAGTGAGGAAAATGTATAGCACAGTATTTTGGAGTCATGATGTCACCTGAAAGATTAATAAAGATAACAACAAAATATGAAATGAATTGTATAATGTATGATAGCACTTAAAACAGTCTTAAAGATCTGGGTTTTTATAATGGGCCTGTGGACCAAGAATACTTACGAGGGCTGGTATCTGGAGCAATGACGACAAGGCCGTGTTCTGAGGCAGCTTGATGATAACCAGATTTTGATATAAAATTTTGCTCTGTGCATGTTAAACCTGCAGATCAAAAATACTGTTATCTCATGCTATTCTGTGAATGGCTTAGAAGCTTTAATCTTTTATAATGCAGAAAAACAAGCTCTCACTTGGTATTATTAAATGTTTTGCATTAGAAATAATTTTAAGACACTAAAATTACATTTCTAACAAAATGTATAATAGTATTAATCTAAAAACTGTGTTAAATGACCCCTTAACTATCCTTTTAAAAAGTACTCCAGTTTTAATTGCTGAAATCCTTTAGCCAGATGTGTTTGGGAATTGAGAATTTTTCAAACTGTGGAATGGCAATATGGTGCATAATCCCAATATGAAAACCACCCCCAGTGAAGTGTTCTCAAACATGCTAATTAAATATGGTATTTCTGCCTCAAAACATAAATATTCACAATAAGTAAGCTAATACCAAGGCCATCATGATGTAAATTAAAATTTTTTATATACAGGTAGCTCTCAGTAACAAAATTCAGCTTAATTATCTTTGCATTCCTCACTGAACTAAAGAGTGTAATGGTGACCACACAACTTCCTGGCACTGAGGGGTAGCCCCAGTTTTTAGCACTGTTTCTGTTGTTCCTCCTAGCTCTCTGCTTTTCAGTCAGGTGACAGAAGAGATGACTTAATTATCTTACAGGTACCAAATACTACACGTATAATGTGCGAATGGCCAAGAATGCATCAGCAAAAAATGCTTGAGTTAAGCACCACTTAACCTTACAGCCTTTTTATAATGGCCAATGTTGCATACCATTAATTAGCATGATGCAATATTAACTACAAAATACTTTATAGTTTCTAATTATCCCATAACAGCCAGCACAGACTTATGACATAGCTGTTCATAAAAATTTGTTAAATTAATAAACAATTATAAGAAACAAAGTTGCAAGTATCATTGGATAAAGTGTTATAGGGGTTTATGGTTAAACTGTTAGGAAATACAGACTTTCACAAGTCATGGCAGAAGAACAAAGTCATTATTTATCTACCACATTCTTAAAGTTTTCCAGAAATATGGCAGCAATATTGTGATGGAGCAGTTCCCTAAATACTGATTAAAAAAATGAGCAATTTTGCTGACCTTAAGGTACAAATGCAGGGTAACAGTGTAGAAAGCATGGGTTTGGGATTTCAGACAGCATCTGGTTCTAAGCGTCACTTGTCCACTTATTAATTACCCAACTTGAATATTCTGAGACTCACTTCTTTCATTCAAAACATGTAGATAATATTGCCTATTTCTACCCCATTAGTAAGATTAAATGTGATAACATGAAAGAATCTTGAATTGTGTCTGGGACATAGTATCTTGCACTTGAGAAATGTAAATTTGTTAGCTACCAGAGAAAAATTTATTTTTTTTTCTAGTTAGAATATAAATTCCTTGATTATAGTAGTAAGGAGTGAACTGTACATTCACAGAAATGAAGATAACTGCACTAGAAGGATTACTCTCAAAAGTATGTGGTTACTAATTAAAATCTACTTGACCAACTACACTTATTTCATATGAAGAGCTGGAATTTGGGGTATAACTCACATGCCATACAAGCCACCCATTTAATGTCTACAATCCTGTACCACTAGTATATTCACAGTTATGGAACCATGATCACTATTATAATTTTAGAATATTTTCATCACTCCAAAAAGAAATCCCATACCCACTAGTAGTCAATTCCCATTTATCTGGATCCTTTTCCCTTGGCCCTAGGCAGACACCAGTCTACTTTCTGTCTCTATGGGTATGTCTATCCTGGGCATTCCTATAAATGGAATTTAGCAACATGTGGTCTTTTCTGAATGGCTTCTTTCACTTAGCAGGTTTTCAAGATTCATCGTGTTGTATTATTGAATGTATGAAAACTTCATTACTTTTTAATGTAGAATAATATTCCACTTAATGGATATTATGCTTTTTATTTATCATTTCATCAATTGATGAACATTTGATATGTTTCCACTTTTGGCTTTTAAAACGTGCTATGAACACTCACAGTTTCTGTGTGGACAAATGTTATCAATTTGCTTGGGTACACAGCTAACGAAGGGCTGTGTTGATGGTCACCTTGACTTGGGAAAGATGAAGCAGTGTACGTGGACTTTTAGGATTTGAGTTTGGATGTTTTGATTTCAGCTACTTTATTAGTTTCAGTAATATTTAACAAATGATTTACTTTGTCAGTCACTGTTTTCCTTCAACTTACTGGGAAGCAAACTTTCTAAAATTCTTTCGTCATCATTTCTCAAGTACACTGGTCAGGCAACCTTACTTTTTTCCAGAAAATCAAGGCTTAATTTCCAAGGTCTATCTGTTCTTCGGCATCTCGCTAAGGAAACTGTCCTGTCTTTGATGTAAACAAATAAAAATTCTATACTTTATACTCATAAAGGTCTAATGACATGTCTTGATAGACTTCAATTCAGGTTAGGTGTTTTGGGTCTTATTATTATAACACCAATAGCACAGTATTTTGTACTTCTGATTTGGGTTAATATTCTTTAATACACTGCCACACTAGAAAAAAATTTTTTTTCTTTGGGGGGGGCCACAGTTTTATTAGCTATCAAGACAGGTCAAGAGTCCTATGAGTTACATATGCTTCATGAAGCCTGGGCCCAAAATACAACTCACATGGCAGTTAATGCATTATGACTTTAAAGAGATATGACTTTAGTAGCTTTCACCAGAAACAAATGTATAAAGAACTTTTTCAACCTCACACTGTTATGGGACCTTGGAAAATATTTAGCTTCTCTGGACCTAAGTCTTCTTTTCATGAATTACATGACTTCCAATATAATCTTTAACTACGCAATATTACGTTTTCTTTTTTTTTAATTTATTTTTATTATTTTTTTTTTTTTTTTTTTTTTTTTTTTTTTTTTTTTTTGCAGTTTTTGGCCGGGGCTGGGTTTGAACCCGCCACCTCTGGTATATGGGGCCGGCACCCTACTCCTTTGAGCCACAGGTGCCGCCTGCAATATTATATTTTCTAAAGCAAGCATCTAATTTTGTTGCTGTTGCTTTTGGAAATATCTAATGTTCTTTTAGCAAAATTGGTGTTCTTCATTCAATCACAAAAATACTTCACTGAGATAAAAATCAGCTAAGCAAGTGATGTAAAGAACATCAGAAATCAAGGAGAGAGGCATAAAAACCTATCTGTTGGGTAAAGGAAGACTATTCAAGTGACAGCACACCGAAAGCCCCGACTTGAGCATCATAAAAGGTATCCGTGTAACAAAAACATTTTTATTCCCTTAATATGTTAGAAAAGAAATCAGATAAGCACTTAATTTTAAAAATGAAATAGTTACGCTTATTTTCGAAGATTGATATTTGGGGCTTATCCTTCATGATACATATGTAAATAACCACTTTTAAGGAAATAAAATTAAAATAGTATTTCATTGTTTTTCTATAACTTTCCTGACTGTTGCCAGAGCAGCTCTATGGAGTCCACTTAAAATATTTTATAGAAGAATATTATTCTAATTGACTGATAAAGGTTCTATAAACTCCAGAAATGCTTGGGTAGGTTCAGATGAAGTAAATAAATTTTCTAAGCTCTTGCTTTTGAGGCCAGAATTTTATATTCTCTGTAAAAGGACGTGGTCTGACTGAATAAGAAATGAAATAAATGTAATTCAGTAGGTCTGAAATTATTCTCAGGATAAATTAACAACATAGACTATGGACAGGCCCCTAGAGTTTTTTATAAATGGCTCTGAAAGCACCATCAAGTCAAAATCAGAGTGTAAGAAAAGCCATCAAATACATAATTCTTACCGGACAGCCAATACAGTGCAGGGCACTTTCCACTTTCTGCCTTTGGTGGTAAGTAGACAGCAAATTTCATTTTGCAGTTTAGTTCAACACTGTAATTGTAACAACAAAATATGAATGCCTCTTATTGATAAAGACAGAAACGAAATGAGCACTATGTAAAAAGATAGATAGTACAGGTCCAAAATAAGTGATTTAATGTCTGAAATAAGTGATTCCACTCAACATACAAGGGCTATACTTTGTCCCTTCTAGAAAGTATAAGGCCAGTTCAGCATGTTGGTCTATTATCCAATTTATGCTTTGGAGAGCACTGTCATTTTGGGCAGAATAAATTTTAAAAATAAATGCAATCCCCAATATGGCACTTGTATTATTAAAAGAAAAGCTGTTTATGTTTTTTAAAGAGGCATATAAAATAACAAATCACCTTTTATAAAAAAGTGAATTCTAAACATCTTAAATTATACATTTGCTCATGGGCACTGAAATGTACATCTTTTAATCACTGATACTTTATCATAATCACCATTAATACAACTAGATACTATAATTTTGATAAAAACCAAAAGTATTTTTCCCTGGAAGCAATAATTCATGCAACAATAATCTCTCATGGGTTAAAGAATCATATAGATATACGTAAACTCTTATCACTTCAGAATGAACAGCTGCCTTTTTGTTAAAATTATGTATGTATATATAAAGTGGACAGTAACTGCAAAGAATTACATCTACAAACTTTGAAAAACTAGTACTCCCCTGCCCCTCAACCTTCCTATTTCCCACATTCAAGATAGTCACTTTACCTTTTATTTGATTCTTCTGGTCTTTACCTTACCTAACTAACTCTTGTTTTCTACAATTCACATGGCAGTTAATGTGAAAAATCAATTTCTTGATTTTTCAGATTAGTTATTATCTACTGACTTACCATTACAGAAAAATTTTAGTTAACTTTCACTGTCTTTGCTCACTGCACCCCCTACATCTCTCTTTCTTATCTTCTCATACACAACTTTGGTTAATCCATACTAAGAAGTTACAAGAGCTATTCTGAGAGGAGCCATGTGGTATACTAAAATACTTCCCTTTTCTTTCAATTTTTTTTCCCTCATTGAGTTAGCAACTCTTTTTGTTCCTTGGCTATATTTACTCTTTTTAGGTACAGACTCCCACAAATGCCCCAGTAATACTAATGGAACCATTCTGTATGTTCCCTTCTATTCTCTGCACATGTTGATTTTATTTTTCCATGTTATTTTAAACATCTTTTTTTGTTGGTGGTGATTGGAAGTTGTAAGACGTTTCTGACATCTGTTTTTTAGGTCTTCAACTGTTAGGAGAGTTGTGATATTTTCTTTCATTATAGACTGTATCAAGTCCATGTCCAAGGCAGGGATATTTTCCTTTATCCACCATCAGGTGCATGAACACTTGTCAGTTGGTAAAACCAAGTGAGCATAATATTATTGCAAGATGGCTGGTGCCTTGAGATTTTTCGCGTATATTTAAAAATTTGTTAAGAGGGTAAATCTCATGTTGTGTTCTTATAACAAATTTCTTAAAGAAGACCTTTCTCAAGTGGCTGTGGAGTGTAAGAGGTCTGAAAAATGTTCAAACAATAATATTAACACTTCTATAAATGAGTAAAAATAGCATTCTTAAGTGGGGCTCTGAAACCCGTCCCTATCGTATGATTAAGATGCTACTCAATTACCAAAAGGAAACATGTCTAATCTCATACATACAGATAGATCTGGTATGGCCTCTCCGTATTTATCAACTGCTACCCATGCCAGTTTCCTAAGTGTTTTTGCCAATACAGTCCTTTCTATTAATGTCATCTACTTAACACACTTTTCCTCAGGGCCATGGTGTTTTATTATGTGGCTCCCAAGGTAGAGAGATGTGTAAGTTATATATGCTTCATGAGGCTCTGGGCTCAAAACTATCTTGAGTTAAATACAATATACATGGCAGTTTATGTGATACAAAAGTATTTTTCTTCAGACAAGTACTATCTAATGAAACTTTCTATAGTGACAACACTGTTTCACATCTGTACTTGCCAATACCACAGCTTATAGTAAGGTGACTACTGAGCCCTTGAGATGTGGCTAGTTGGGAATGAATTTTTTAAATATAACTAATCTAACTTAAATAGCTATCGTTAACTACTGACTACTATATCTCCACCCTTTTGATTTGCTGCTTTCCACACTGCTTTATAGCTGCAGCCTCAGCACTGCCACACTTATCTGGAAATTTTTCTCTTCTGATCCTGTTTCTTAGATCTCATAGCCTCAGCCATTCTGTTTTAGTCCCTCATTTTGGTGAAACATCTATCTTTCAGTTGCTTCCACAAAAGGGGCTGCCAGGGAAATATACTTTTGAGACCTTAGCTAGATGCAGTATCTTCATATACTCTCATGCTTAGCTGAGGGTTTGACAGTCACTGGCTGCTCTGCCCTCCGGCTCCTGCTCTTGAGCTGTCTCAGGGCTTTAACATCCTTAATCCATTTCCTCTCTGCTAAGTTGGAGAATTTTCTTTTTGTTCTCAATGCTCTGACACTTCACAGCACTGTTGGTGAACATCAATTATCATCTATCACGCAGGACTTTTCTAATCTGTCAACTTAAACACTTGAGTTCCAGGAATTCTTGAATTCTTTCTTTATTCTTTATATATTCATACTTATGAATATATGTTTTTTAATGTTGGACTTCTTGGATGAGTCCTCTGACTTTCTCATCTCTTCTCTCTGATTTTCTACTTCCGTCTTATTCTACTTTAAAAGTTCAACTTTATCAACTAACCTTTCTAGTGAGTTTTGTAATTTCTCTTATCAGATTTTCAGTTTCTGGGTTCCTTTTATACATTTTTTTTGGTTTTTTTGATCATGAGACAGAGTCTTATTATGTTCCCCAGGCTGGACTCAAAACTTCTGGGCTCAAGTGATCCTCCTACCTCCACCTCCCCAGTAGCTGGGACTACAGGCGTGTGTGCCTGGCTGCTTATTTGTTCTTGAATATTTTTATTAGTGTTCTCTGACACTGGAGATTAATTATTAGCAACAACACTTGAAGTTTGTCTCCCTGTTCAGTTCATTTCTTCTTGATTCTATGTCTAAGTGTCTTTCAAATTGTCTTTATATAAAGGTCTAGTGATTTTTAGTGGTCTACCCCTATTTAAGAGTTAAACACTACATATCTGATTGAAATTAGTATGCCTATTGGTGGGGCTGTCAACCTTTGCTTCACTGCAGAGAAGTCTGGCTGGATCATTCTGTTGACAAATCTCAGTATATTGAGATCTCTTTTTTTGAGCTAGTCAAATTCCCAATAAGAAAATTCTTCTAAAGAGTATAAGCTTAACTCCCCTAACTTTGGAAGCTAGTAAAAGAAATTAGCGTACAAACTTTCTCCATCTATTTGCAGTATCACACCTCCCACCGACTGTGCCTGGTACTCCTTAGTACAGACTTTTCTGTTTACCTTCTCTAGAGAATACATCTCCAATTTTGTTGTCAGAGGTGGGGAGGAGTAGTGCCCCAGCTGCACAGGGAGCTGGGACTTCTGAGATATATTTGCTTTTTAAAATGTATTTTCAACTAATCTTCCATTTTCTGAACTCCATTTTTATTCTTACTTCCAGGTATATGTGGTGCATCCAATTCCTATGGCTTTATGTAAATTATATCATTTCTTAGCTTTCTCTTACTGATGTTTAGAATTTACCTTTCTAGGTTTTACTAAGTCAGGTACTACCTGTCCATCTGTATTCATGCTTTTAAAATATCATTCTTAACTCCTGTCCTCCACTTCTTTATTCCTTTGTGTGTGTTGGGGGGAGAGGGTTATGTTTAATTCCTCTACTTAATGCGACACTAGTCAGATTTTGGAAGGTATGTGTTTAATTTGCCAACTTTATCAGGAAGTCCAGGTGTCTTTTCTTTCAATATTAAAAGATCCTCAGGGAAGACGTCCCTAAAAGTTTACTGGCAATATAGGTATTTTCAATTTCAGGAGAACATCAAATCAAAGCTTGAAGACATCTCTCTGTTTAGCTCTTCCTTACCTCACATAGTCATCAAGACCATAGCCAACTAAGTCTCGTATCGTCAAAGTGATAACCACAGAGAGAGTAAACAGGTTTAAAGGTGAATGGAGGTACCACAATATCTAGACAAAGATTTGTTTAAAAACAGAACAAAACCAGAGACATCTAAAATTTTATCTTAGTAGTTACCTGTCATGTTCAAAAACTTTCTGCAATCCCCCAAAGCACTTATTGCTGGAAATCTGTTTCAAGGCCATTCTTCTCCTATTAGTAAAGATTAATCTGATTAAATTCTAGAAAAAAAAACTTCAAACAAAACTTATGTTGCCAGATAAATTACCTTTATATACTGTTTTCCATCCAGAATTTTTTTCCACATACTGTTTTTCTCTGGCAAATATTATTAAGCACTGTTTAAATTTCATATACACATTTACACTTTTTACTTACTCTAAGACACCTTAGCACTTTGGTATATCATAAGTAATTTATTAACAAGCTTTTTGTTGTTGATGTTGACTGACTCAAATTCTTTTTAAAGGGAAGCAGATTTGTTATTATAAATGAGAATAAACAAAACAAACAAACAAAAAAAGACAAGACAGAAAGAAAGAAAAAGAAAAAAGGCAGAAAATAAATACTACTAATAGGTTACTTTAAAAGATTAGAAATTGTTAACAGTTTACCTATTACCTACAGCAAGTCAAGGGTCTGGCATGACTGATTATGGGTGACTTTAAAATTAAAGAAAAATGATGTGATAATAATGATTTTGATAATAATCATATAACATTGAACAACACTAATATTATGACAGATATTACTTATGCTGCAGGAGTTTTTGAAAGAAAATGATACAAAAACTTTTAAATCAACCTCTCTCTTTTTATAATAAACCAACAAGACAAGCCTGTTAACAATCTTTTCTTTTAAATTTTTTAATTTTCACATAATTAAATTTTCACATAAAAAATAAGTTTTAACCTACACATAAAACACCACATTACTTTTTAATAACGAATAAGAGAAAAATAGTAAGCCATCTTTATCATAAGTGCCTGCTGAGCAAAGAACCACACTGATTCTGATGTGTTCCAGGAGGAACCCCCTTTTCAGGGCAGCGACTATGGCTCAGTGAGTAGGGCGCCGGCCCCATATACCTGAGGGTGACAGGTTCAAACCCAACCCCAGCCAAAGTGCAAAAAAAAAACACAAAACCGGGCATTGTTGCGGGTGCCTGTAGTCCCAGGTACTCCAGAAGAGAATCGCCTTAGCCCAAGAGCTAGAGGTTGCTGTGAGCTGTGACATCACAGCACTCTACCAAGGGCAACAAAGAGAGACTCTGTCTCTTAAAAAAAAGAAAGAATTCCCTTTTTATGCCTAGAAGATATAAAATAAAGAGACAGAAAATATATTGCTGTCCTACATACTAAATAAAAAGCTTTAAAAAGGAACAGGTGTAACCACCCTGGTGGTCTCTTCAGTGACATGCACTAATACATGCTGATAAATTTGCAGTCATCAGGGTTACTTTTACAAAGATATGTAACAATCATCTTGAAAAGTTCATTTTGAAAATGTCTTTGTAATTTCAATCCCATCTTTAACGCAGTCTCTTCAATAAACCCAAATACTTAATTTTATATTAGAAAACTGGGATTTGAACCCAGAAAGTCTGACATCAGAGCCCCTACTCTTAACTGCCATGCTGTACTAACTCTGGAGAGCCTTTACATATGCTTTCTAAAGACATGCTAAGATTCACTGAATCTTTAGGATTAGGGTATTACAATTTTACACAGAGACCTTATTCTCTGTTAACAGTTTTGTTTTTAATCTAGAAAAGACTATTCTTTGCTTTTATTCATTAATTTATTTTTTGAGACAGAGTCTCATCCTATGCCCTGAGCAGACTGCACTGGCATCATAGCTCACTACAACCTGAGACTCCGGCTATGGGCATCCCGCTACTCTTAAACAACAAACTCTTACAAGATGTTACCAGTTACTGAATATTAACTTCAACTATTCTTGTTTGTGATCCTATCTTAACAATGAACTTACAGAGACAGCGTATAATTTTAATATACATACTTATGAGACTAAAATAAAATTTATTTGCTCAATTATTCTACAGTGAAGTCCAAGTTCCTAACAGGAACTACGTCTGCTTTCCCCAAACATGGTATACTGAGTATATACCTGGTAGCTAATAATTATTACTTGAATTGATGAATCCTTTTTTTTTT